CAACCCTATCCAGCATATTGGATGCCCTGGCTCCTGACTTCTGGCCTGGTCTTGACTGTGGGCCCATTTTGAGCCCCTGGAATGATACACTGGACTTGGACTGACACCTAGTATTATGACCCTTAGCATTGGCTTGGACTTCCAATATTGTTGATCCTCAGCTTCTGTGTCCTGACCCCCCATGTCCGGGGTGTGCCCATGACACTAGCACTTTAAATCCTGTCATGCTTCCTGTAGGCACTGTGGCAAGACAAAGTTTTAAGGAGGGATTTGAAGGGGAACAATGAGGACATTTACAAGGAGCTCTTCCAAAGCATGAGGGGCAGCATGAGTTAAAAAAACAAAGTTATTTGTTTAAAAATTTAACAATGGAAATTGGCATCACAGGCCAAATGGAGGTACAAGTTAGGGTAGGGCTGGGGAAAGGGTATGGATGCTCTGAATTATGTTTAGAACAGCATTCTGAATGGGTAAAAGTGGGACAAAGTTATACTCATCAAAAGCAGAGAAAGAGGTTGTGCAGTAATGGAGATGAGATGATGACAGCCTGGAGGAGCATTTTAATTGTGTGTATCAGCTGCCTGTTAAACCTGATGCAGAGGAATCAGGAAAATATACAGAATGGGAAAAGTTGTTACCTTAGTACTGTTTTTATGTTCATCCTGACAGCCATTTTGGATAGCTCCTTCCTCTATACTGACATCACAGTTGGTGGCAATTGTAACACTACATGAAGGGCATGTCTACAAAAGACAAAAAAATAAAATCAGAAATATTCGGATACCACAACAGTGTGCAATTCATAACGAGCCCATTTTCGCTGCAACAAATTTAATCTAAAAGCCATATGTATTTGAAGGTTTCCTTTCATTAAGCATTTCACAAACTGTAATTGCAGCTGGAGATGGCTTGCAGTCCTTAAATAATATTCTGAATTTTTGCTGTGCGGTTAAGACAAAAACGACAGAATTGAAAATACTGAGCTTAAAAGGGGGCAAGGTCTAAGCAGAGGCAACCCAAGCAGGGTGCGAGACCTGGGCAAATCAGCCTATGCGAGGCCCCACTCCTGCTCCCGGACCTGAAGAAGCTGCCACCGCCATTGGCATTGGCATCGGAGGCGGGTAGCAAGCGGCTGGATGTGAAGTCGCTGTTCTGCCCAGCTCCACGCCACCGCTGCTCCAAAGGGCCCCCCAAAGTGCGGTTGCCCCGATTCACACCCCACTAGCGATGGCCCTGGGTCTAAGTCTTAGACGTTGTTCCATTTTAAGCTCAGTATTTTCAATCTAAAAAGTAGTTAAAATGATTTTAAATGAAAAACATAGACCATAAACATTATAATGCCATACTTATGACTTGTTGATCTTGTCTGCATGATTTTGGAATCGCAAAAAATTTGCACTTTAAACAGGGAAAGTGGAAGTCTGACACCTTAGACCACAGCTTCCCAACCTTTTCCATACTGAGGAAAAGGTTGGGAAGCTGTGGTCTAAGGTGTCAGAGAACAATCCGAGAAAAGCAT